ATATATATATATATATATATATATATTGAGTAGAAATGTATTATTTTAGAGTAAATTTGCAAGAAGCACTTTTGCCATCTTTAACAAATAATGCTGATTTCCCCCAAATAACTTAATTTCTTTTTAATATAATCCTTCACCAAAACACATTGTGCTGCTTCTGACTAATGTCCCCAATCAATTCAGGACTCTGAGGCTGTGGCTTTTCTGAAGGATCCATTGTGTTGGGTACATTCATATTCAAATGTGAAACTAGCTCTAAATATTTCCCACGGTTTGTTATAATAAAAGAAATAGACACCCCCACCCCCCCTAATAAGTGTCACAGGTCTCATTAGCCAACCAGATAAATGGCTGTCTGCTCAGCTACTCCCTCCGGCTGTTACGAGCTCTCATTGAGACGACCTTGATTCCCATGTGTCTTATCGCTGTTACATCCGGCACATGGGAGGAAAATACCCCACACCCAGAGGAGGACTGCTGCTGGTTCGGACTGGTTCAGGCAAACCAGTAGTTCCAACCAGCGGCTGGCTCAGTCGCCTTCCCTATATAATTGCCATGTGTTTGATGCCGCTTGAAGGCACACGAGTAAAGTGCACTTGCACGCAGTTCTGGGTGAACCACTTGTTACATTAAGTGACACCAACCTCTGCCCACCCCATATAGTCACCCCCCCCCCGGCATATGTATAGCAACCTAAAAACAAAGTAAAAAAATAATACGGCATCAACTAAATTTGTTTTGAGAATGCCAGACACGCCATAGCATGTATGTGATAACTAGTTTCAGAAATTGTTTGTTAGGCAGAAGGGCAGCTGAAATTCAATGCCATCTGTGCTGATATCTTGCTGAAATCCCACTGCTTTCACTCCAGGTTAAAGAGGATCTTTGTTTAATCAGAGGCAAACCCAGTTGAGGCTGTGCCATGGTTGGTTTTAACCATCATTTGCTCAACAAGCCAGAATGGCCTAGTTTGCACTGTACCCTATTTGCTGGGTTCACATGTCATGCTTAGACAAAAAGTTAGATCACGTTAGGACTGTTATATGTCAGCCGCTAAAATGTATAAATTTTCCTTGATTCCGACCATGGGATTTTGTGAGGAATGGAAAATCAGCTCATGTTTAATACTTAATACCACTTTAATTTATGTGTTCCATCTTTTTGGAGTACAGTGTAATTTTGTGAATAGTTTTGAAACTGAAGCCTTCCAGATCTCGTATTACCTGTGATGGCGAACCTATGGCATGAATGCCCAAAGTGGCACACAAAGCCATGTCGCCTGGCACATGTGGCATCGCCTGTTCCTCTTCCGGGTTTCCGGTGCTGAGGTGCCAGAAACTGGAAGATCTGGTCTTCTGTTTCCCAGTGTGAGCATGGGCGCCGGCCACCTGATTGTCATGCGCGAATGCATGCGCCAGAAACCAGAAGTTCATTTTCTGGTGTGTGCATTGAGCAGCTCCTCTTCCGGGTTGCATCCCAGACGAGAGCACGTGCGCACTCCTTTTTTGGCACCTTGTGCCAAAAGTTTCACCATCATTGTCATATACTGTACTGTATACCCATAACTGATAAGCATTTGAATTTTGAGAAATTAATCCAATTCATTTGAAGGCTGCCACTGAATATGGCTGGGGAATGTTGAGATTCGTACTCATATTCTTACTTAGCTTTTTGCGTTCTTACATACTGCAAATCCAATTTTTCAACTATAACATGCTGGAGTTCCTTTGTTACCTAATTCACTTACAATCCTAAGCCATAATGGGTTCATCCATCACAGTAAGCCAAACACAAGTCCACCATTCGTGATTTAACATAACGTATGATCAGGGGGACTTGGTTTAATTTACAGGATTATTTTTTTAAACAAAATTAAGCATTTTCTTTTTTTAAAAAAAGTGAATAAACAAGTAAAAAGCAACAAAGAAAATATACTTGTTTCAGAAATAATAATGTCTATAAGGGGGACAAAGGAATTGTACAGTGAGTCCTCTTTAACTCTGCAGGATTATTGTGAAGATGAAAAAAAGGGTTAGGGAGAAGGACAGAATTGTAGGTACTGCCTTCATCTCCTTAGAAACAGATGGGATACAAAAGTAATATGAACCATGGTGGCTCAGTGGTTAGAATGCAATACTGCAGGCTAATTCTGCTGACTGCCAGCTGCCAGCAGTTTGATTCTCATTAGCTCAGGGTTGACTCAGCCTTCCATCCTTCCGAGGTGGGTAAAATGAGGACCCAGATGGTTAGGGGCAAATAGGCTGACTCTGTAAACCGTTTAGAGAGGGCTATAAAAGCACTCTGAAGTGGTATATAAGTCTGAGTGCTATTGCTGTTGTTAATAGATCAATAATAATTTTAAAATATACATTCTTTTTCAGCACACTCAACAATCCAGCTGACCAAATGGACGTGATAGGAGTTGGCGGCATTGATTTTGAAGATAATATCGCTCGGTTCTCCTCCAGGGGGATGACCACATGGGTGAGCCCCTTTGTAGAGGCATCATGCTCAGGGTGACACTAATGAACTCAAATGTTGAGCCTAGTGCATGGTCTTCCATTACTTTGCATGCCACATGGGAAGCGCAGTTTAATTTTGCCAGAAGTCAGTAGAAATCTCGTTGAATTGATGGACGTGCGAGCATGAAGCCTTTTGTTTGATGCATTTGACTTTCCTCCCTAGGAACTTCCTGGAGGCTATGGGAGAGTCAAGCCTGATATCGTGACTTATGGCTCTGGTGTGAGAGGGTCTGGCATGAAGGGGGGTTGCCGGTCACTCTCCGGGACAAGTGTGGCCTCCCCTGTTGTGGCAGGCGCCGTCACGCTTCTAGTAAGGTATGTATGCCATCAAAATATATTTCCCAGGCTTTTCTGGTAAAGCTGCATCGTTCAAATCCCAGGGAAACCCAGGAGAAGTAAATGGGACACATCGTTCAGAGCATGTAACCAAAATCATACCCAAAAACGCTAATTTGACGATGTTGTAGAAGAAGAAGAAAAATAACGTCTCTTTGAATACAATGAATTACTTCTGGTTCATTTACAACTTTAGCCCCATCAGAGTCTAACATTTCCGATGTTTCTGGCTTTCAGCACAGTTCCGAAGCGCGAAATGGTGAACCCAGCTAGCATGAAGCAGGCCCTCATCGCCTCTGCACGCCGTCTTCCTGGAGTCAACATGTTTGAACAAGGGCATGGCAAACTTGATCTTCTCCGAGCCTATCACATTCTCAACAATTACAAGCCTCAGGCCAGGTGAGTTTCTTTCCATGCAAATGGCTCAAACCGGACCTTTCCTGTCGGAAAAATAAATAAGCGAGCTGCAAATCCTGTTTTTCTTTTTCTATATGTTTCAACTCTTAGATAGTTACAATGGACGGTTGGACCATGTTTTTGTGTGTGTGTGTGTTTGTGTGTGTGTTGATTAAGCAGGGAAATGTTTTAAGATTTTATGATACTGTCTTATGTATTGGTTATGGTTCTAGAAGGCAGCTAGTTGAGGAAGACTGGTTTCCAAGTGTTATATTTGTGGCCATGGCATAGTTCAATTTTTACGCCCCTTATCTATTGTTTGGCATCAGCTGCCCCAATATAGTTTAAAAAAAACACAGGTCATTATTTCACTTTTAAAACTCAAAAGTCTCTTTTTTCTTGGAAATGAAAACATGACTAAACTCTTTATCTTAGGAGACTGTGTCACGTTGTTGTCAATCATCTGTCGAACCGTTGGTTGAGTTCTAAACATGGTTTAGATTCTAAGGCTTTCTAAAGGTAGAAAGGAGATAGATTGGAGATAAGGTAAAGGTAAAAGTTCCCCTTGCACATACGTGCTAGTTGTTCCCGATTCTAGGGGGCGGTGCTCATCTCAGTTTCAAAGCCAAAGAGCCAGAGCTGTCCAAAGATGTCTCCGTGGTCATGTGGCTGGCATGACTAAACACCAAAGGCACACAGAACGCTTCCCACTAAAAGTGGTTCCTATTTTTCTACTTGCATTTTTACATGCTTTCGAACTGCTAGGTTGGCAGAAGCTGGGACAAGTAACGGGAGCTCACTCTGTTAGGCAGCGCTAGGGATTTGAACCGCCGAAGTGTCGACTTTTCTGATTGACAAGCTCAGCATCGTAGCCACTGAGCCACCCTGTTTTCTACATGTATTCAAATTCACCAAGAGAATAGTTTGCTTTATACAGACAGTCCTCGGCTTATGGCTGTAATTGAGGCCAAAAATTTTTGTTGCTAAGTGAGACAGTTGTTAAGCGAGTTTCACAAACCCCTTTTATGACCTCTTTGACATGATTGTTATACTTGTAGACAATCCCCGACTTACGTCCATAATCGAACCCAAAATTTCTGTTGCTAAATGAGATGTCTGTTAAGTGAGTTTTTTGCCCCATGTTATGACTTTTCTTGCCACATTTGTTAAGTGAATCACTGCAGTTGTTAAATTAGTAACACGGTTGTTAAGTGAATTGGTCTCTCCCATTGATTTCGATTGTCAACAGGGTTGCAGAAGGGAATCACTTGACCCTGGGATGCTGCAACCGTCATAAACATGAGTCAGTTGTCAAGCATCTGAATGTAAATCACGTGACTATGGGGATGCTGGAAAGGTTGTAAGTGTGAAAAACGGACATAAGTAACTTTTTCAGTGCCGTTGTAACTTTGGTCACTAACTTTATAATTAGAAGACTACCCATATATTTTCAGTTTAAAGCCTCATTGGACAGTGAAACATAAAGGTATTTCATGTATGTTTATTTCTTATCGCCCATTGTATTTTCCCTTCAGTTTGAGTCCCAGTTACGTTGACTTGACGGAATGCCCTTACATGTGGCCCTATTGCTCTCAGCCCATCTACTACGGAGGCATGCCCACCATTGTCAACGTCACCATCCTCAACGGAATGGGAGTCACTGGGAGAATCGTAGACAAGGTAAGAGTTGGCAGAACTTAGCCAGGCTGAATGACAACGACAACGACACCACTACTACTACTACTACTGCTACTACTACTACTGCTGCTACTACTACTACTACTACTACTACTACTACTACTACTA